ATCAGCTAAACAGCAAATCAAAAAAACTAAGCGATGATTAAAGATTGATGAATCACCAAAAACTATAGCTAATATTAGCTTTTACATTCAAAAACTAAATAAATAAATAAAAATAATAATAAGAAATGAAAGAAAAGAAAGAATTCATTTTTTTGTATGCCAAAAAATTTTTCAGTGCTTTTTATAAAAATTTATCTATCACAAAAATTCTTTGCAAAATAAGTAAGCAAAATAAAATTAGAATAGAAGGAAAAAACTGTCCATATGACGTATGACAAAAAAGAAGAGAATAAAATGAAGAAAAAAACTTAAAAGTTACAGAAGAAAAATAGCTGCAAAAAAAAAAAAAAAAAAAACAATGATAATTTTGAGATTGTTTCAAGATATAATAATTTCAAATTTGAGAAAATGTTGAAACGAAAGGTTTTTTTTCAATTTTTTTCCAAATATTACTGTTCTTTCCTCTGTTATAGAACTTTCTATCGCTGTTCTTATGTTGGTGTCAATATAATCATCCAATATTCTTCTTAATGTGCAATCATTCATCCCAAAGATACAATTTTTAAGTAAACTATCGAAACCAAGACAAAAGGTTCTGTAACTGCTGCAAACGGTGAACCACTTGCCATTTTTACCAAAATCTGATTGCAGAATACCAAAATGTTTGTTTTTAAACATTTGAATAGCGATATCAGTGAACAAAAGCAACGTTTAGAATTCCATAATGCATAACTTTAATCTGTTGTTGGTTTGTCAAGAAACTTTTAAAGAAACAATATAGAATAGACGACAAACGATGAGTAATAAACCAATTTGGGCAACGCAGAGAGGGGGTGCAAAAAATTTCGATTACCAAATATTGCATAAAAATTTGTTTCTTTCTTTATTCTTCTTGTTTTTTTTTTTTCACTTTGTATCACTGCGAAAAATTAGGCAATAAAGAGAAAAAAATGCTTTGTTTAAACAAAAAAAAAAAAAGCAGCACCATAATTTAAAAGGTAAAAAAAAACTAAATTTTTGTCTTAACTTCGTATTGACATTAAGCAATTTTAATTGCCTATGAAGTTCACAGCTACTCTTCCATTTTCCAGCAGAGACTTCAGTAAGCAAAAAAAATATTGTAAACCATCAAAAAAAAGAAACCAAATTGTAAAGAAATTTCTCGTCTTTCTTTTTTTTTTTGTTGATTTCCGTTTATAGAAGTATTGCCACTGACATCAGAAATAACATCGAAGCACCAGGATTAGAAACAGCCAAAAGAAGCAGGTGTCAAGATAAAAGAAAAAAAACCATACCAAATTATCACCAACCAAAGCAAGTAAAAGAAAAAGTAAAAAAGAGAATCATAAATTAATAATGAATCAAAATATTGGTATAGAAATAAGGTACAAATAAGTTCCTGAAACTGAATACATATACCATTTAATACCTCTACCTTTTAGAAAGAAAAGCCACTGTTCATTTTTGAGAATTAAAATTTATTTTTGAAATCGTATATACGAAGAAAAACACCTAACCAACTGATGTGACAGTACCCAAATTCAATATCAGTAAATCAAATCCAAAAGCAGAAAAAAAACACCTTTTTTGTAAAAAGCTAATCTGATAATAACGATTGACTTTAATCCACAATCATCACTCTTTTTTTCTTCAACAAAGATCATAAGAGACTTTTTTTTAGCTATTTTCAAGGTTTAATGAGGTCAAAATAAACTGTTAATTACACATTGGCAATGTGCTTTAATCAGTTGTAAATTGGTCGTCATCATCAGATAACCAACGGCAAAAAAAATTAGAAAAACGTGAACACAAATAGATGATTATACTACAAAAACATAATAAATTAACAGTAACAAATAAATTAAGCTCAAATTTTAATTGATGCATAATAGGCGAAACCAAATATTTGTACGTTGTTAATTTAGTACAGATTAGTAAAGTTGTTATTAGAAAAAATTATTTAAAAAAAAAAATGATTTAAAAAAACTGTAGATTAAAGGTGTGGCCACAGATTTACTGATGATAACAGTCCTTAGAAACCAATCAAAAGCACTATTTAACAACTTTCCAACTATTACTCGCCTATGTTTTTCATAACTGATTCTGTATGTTTTTAACATTTTAAAAGCATATTTTTAAAGCTACTGATAACAGCAGTACTGTCAACTGAATTTACCAAAAACTTTGATGATGCAGTTACAGCAACAGCAGCAGCAGCAGCGGAAGCTGCAACAGCAATATCAGCAACAACAGTGGCAGCAATGATAGCAATAGCAAAAGCAAAAACGACAGAAACAATTACACTGATGATGCAAAAAGCAAAAAGCAAAAAAAAAAATAAAAATAAAAATAAAGAAAAAAAAAGATAAAAAATAAAATAAAAAACAAAAAAAAAAATAATAATCAAAAGTTCAACAAATGATATCCATTGTTTTCACAGTCAAATGATAAAAATGTTGCCAACTTCTAATTTTTGACTTCAATATTTCTTCTTTCAGTTTCATTTTCTTTTGTTTTTCACTTTTTTTCCCCCCCCCCTTCCCCTTCTCGTTCTTCACATCTTTCGTTTCATTTTTTTCTTCCTTCTCTTTGCCTAGTTTCCTCGTAATAATCAAAAATAAACTTTCACAAACAACTTATCAAACAAAAAACACCATCTGGCTATCTGCTGTATATAATGTAACTGTATTAAGCTACTGTTATACACACTATAATCAACATTAAGCAACAATCTGTAAGATAAAGAGTAGATAACGACAAGGACATTAGTAGCAGTAACGGCAGCAGCAACAGCAGCAGCAGCAACAGCAACGACTACAGCAATAGAAAGAGCAGTAGCACTAACAGCAACTCAGAAAAACAGAACAAACAGTAAAGAAACAACTTTTGATCTGTTATTCTTCAATTTTTAACATGCAGACCGATCTGTGTCGGCATTGTCGAGACTGTGTGAACAACAAAAGTTAAAAAGTGTATAAGTGAAAAACAAAAAAGAAAAAAAAAAAGAACATTTTACTGAGACGAGCCGATAAATACAGGTAAGCAAAAAGAAAATAAAAAAGAATTGATGAAAATGTGATTAAACAAAAATTAATTTTTTAGCTGTTTAAAAAATCCACAAAAATTATTTTTTTTTTCTTCCATTAACTTTTTCTTCAACCATGTCTGCTGCAGACAATTTCCAGTTTATACAATGTATTTATCGGCATGATGACCACAATTGGAGAAGATAAGAGGGGGTATGCTGCTATACACAACGGTAAATTGCACCATTAGAAGAAGCTAACCGAGTGCTGAAATGAAACGAGAAAGAAAAACAAGGAATTATTGAGATTAAAAAAAATTGGATAACAGTGGTAAAAAAGATAGCAGCATAAAAAACTGCTTTTCTTTTTCTTTTTTTAAGCAGTTTAATTTGCAACGTTTATAAAACCGTCTTCATAATTGTGCCGCTGTACTGTTGTCACTTCTTTATTCTCTTCTCAGCATTTTCATCTTCATTTTATCCCTGCCGATGATCAGTTGCCATTAGCCATCACGTCGACTTTAGTTCAGTATTTGAAACGGTTCTAAAGGCCAGAAAGCAAGGAAGTAACTAAGTTGTTCGGCATCAAGAAGAGGTGTAATAG